CACTTCCATGCATCTGCATACCTCCTCCTGCCTACAAAATAACAATATCAAACTCCATCAGCAAAAGTCATCTACTTCACCTATGTAAAAATTCCAACCTATGGATATTTTCCTGACCTCCTTCAGATCCAAATTTCTTTTCTCCTTCCTTTGTCCTTATCACCACCTGCCTCATTAAAGATGCACCACAAATACCAGCAAATTTTATGTTATCCTCAAACGAGTAAAATTATACAAAAAAATTTCAATATTTATCTTCAATGTATGGCTAGATTTACTAATAGATACAAAATTGAGTGAATTCAACACTTGATTCACTGAAGTAATAAATACAGTTGATAAACCCCTAGTCCATCTTATCATAAAAAGAAAGAAAATACTCAAATTTACACACTAAGGAATGAAAAGGGTGAAATCACTACAGCTTCTGTGGAAATTCAGATCATCACTATCTACTTAAAATTCTTTACTCTCATACTATGAATAACACAGAATAAATATAGAATCCTAAACATGCAAGAATTAACAAAGCTGAACCAAGAAGATATAAAAATTCTGAATATCAATATTAAGTAATTAAGTGGACAATGTAATTAACAACTTACCAAGAAAGCAAAGCTCTGGTCTGGATGGATTCCCAGCTGATTTCTGTAAGAAATCTAGAGAAGATTTATTGTCAATACTCCTCAAAGTCCTTAATGAACTTGAAAGAGAAGCACCTCTCTGTAACTCATTCCTGGAGGCAAGTATTACCCTCAGAGCAAAGCAGAGAAACACTCAAAGAAAAAGACAACTACAAGACCCCTAATGAACATACATGCAAAAATTCTCAATAAAGTAGTAGCAAACAGAATGCAGCAAATCTTCAAGAATATTATATACCACAACCAATGGGGCACCAACCCAGGAATGTCAGGATAGTTCAATATATGCAAATAGATAAATGTAATACACTACATCAAAAGAACCAAAGATAAAACCCACATGCTCATTTCAATAAATGAAGAAAAACCTTTTGATAAAGTCCAACACTCATTCATGGTAAATAGCCTACAGAAGATAGTCTTTACCTCAATAAATAGTCTTTACCTCAATGTGGTAAAAAGCATCTATGAAAAACCAACAGCCAACATTTTACTAAATGAATAAAAACTGAAAACTTAACATGTACAATCAGGAACAAGACAAGGATGTCCACTATACCACTCCTTTTCAATATAACACTCCTTTCAAATATTATCCAGGGAAATTAGACCAGACAGACAAAAAAAGGAGCAAATATAGGAAACCAAATGTGAAATAATCATTATTCACAGATGACATGAGGCTGTACAGAGACCCTGAAAATGCCACGGAAAGACTTATAGATTTAATAACCAAATTCAGTGGTATAGCTGGAAACAAAGTGAACAATCAAAATTCAGTCTTGCACAAAACAACAAACTTCCTGAGAGAGAAATTAGGGAAATCACACTCTTCACAATACCATCCAAAAATGAAATATCTAGCAATCAGTCTAACGTAGGAAGTAAATACCTATACATTGAAGATTACACTACTCTGAAAAACTACATGAAAGTAGATTTTAGGAAATATAAATATATTCCTTTCTAATGGGTAGGAAGAACCAACAATGGAAATGGCCATATTACAAAAAAGTTATACAGATAAAAGACAATCTTGATCAAAATACCATTAGCATACCTCATGGAGAGAAAAATTTCCAAAAATTCATCTGCAGTAAGAGACCTATAATAGCAAAGGCAATCCTGGGCAACAAAAGAAAGACAGGAGGCACCATAATCAATGACTTGAAACTGTACTGTAAAGTTACTGTGATGAAATCAGCATGGCACTGGCAGAAAAATAGACCTGAGGATCATTGGAACAGATTACAAAATACACACAAAAGTGCAAACACACTCAGCCACATTAAACAGGTGCACTGGTAGAAAGATAGCCACTTATATAAATAGTGCTGGAAAAGCGGGCACTCCACACAGGAAGAATAAAACAGGGCTCATGTCTACCATCATTCACTAAACTAAAGCCAAAATGGATCAAACATTTAAACATTAAAATAGAAACACTAGATCTACTGGAAGGGAAAGTAGGTAGAAAATTGCAGACATAAGAGAGGGAGAGAGTTCATTAATAAAAACTAAACTGCACAGAAAATATTTCAAAGAATCATTAACTGTGTTCTCATCTTATTAAAAACCTTTTCTCCCATCATAATAAATCATCAACAAAGTGAAAAGAAAACCTACAAATTTGGAAAAACATTATGCTACTATCCCTCAGAACAAGAACTTCTATCTAGAACATATAAAGAATTTTTAAAAATCAGGTCAACATACAAAGGTCCAGGCCAAAAATAGGCCTCTGAGAGGAATACACACTTCCCAGATGAAGAAATAGAAGTGGCAAATAAATATATGAAACATTGCTCAACATCATTATTCATGCAAGAAATTCAAGTTAAAATAACACTGAGAGTCCATCTTACACCAGAAATAATGGCTATCAAGAAATCAGCGAAAAACAACTGCGGTTGAGCTTTAAGAAAAAGCAACTCTTCTCCATTTTTTACAAGTATCTGATTCTGGTGTTGAAATAAGTAGGGATTCATAGCTAACAATGAACTGTGCACACAGGGAAATTGCTTACCAAGT